ATATTTTGTTGTGTTTATATTATATTATACGCTATATTATTATTATTATTTTATTATACACCGCGAGCACAAACGCTATGCATACGTTAAAATGTAATATGGTTCGACCTGCAATTTYCTATTTTCTTTTAAAATGATATCGTTTTTTTATGTACGGTAACCGGTAACCACGAGGATATCCTACAACAGGCATATCAAACCGCTTGTGGCTCTCARCTCAATTTGTTGTGGTCCGYGGCTGCCAATATTAACGACTAAAAACATAAAATAATATAATGAAAACAATAAAATATTAATGCCGTGTCACAACTATCTTAGATTCTTAAAGATTGGTTTATTTGGTATACATTATTATACTGTCTTATTTTCTGATAAACTAATCGAATAAGAATTATTTTTTTAAATGTCCATGTGCGACTCGCATAGGCATCATAGTAAGCTTTTCAATATATTTGGTCCACTTTATACTTTGAGTTTGACATGCCTAGCTGTCYTACGCCTATATGCGTGTTTTGTGAACATGAACGTTCACTCGATGATCGATGTCTCGAAAACATAATATTTTTTTTATTTAATTATATTCACTTTTATGGTCTTCCATTCGATCGTTTATAATTTTGGTATATCGTCGTGATGCAGTTTAACTTTCGTATCCACGTTTTCCGAGTCATCTTGTGATTCACTGCAGATTGTATATACAATAGTTCTTAACATTATATTACCTATATTACAGCCTACAGGTATACATTCTTATAGGTAGTTAATATGTTTTCTTATGTATTTTTATCATATTAAATATTTAAAACAAAGAAAAAATATAACTTGATTTGAGTTCTTAAATTATTTATTAAATTAAGCTTTGACGTATGAAAAGATATTTGTTGTCTTGTAGACATAAACTATATTAATAGTTAGACTTGTCGATAAAGTATAAAATATTAAAAGTTTCATTGTAATAGTAACAAACTCATAACTACTAAAATTAAATGCTAGATATATGATAGCCTTACAGAAAAAATAATCGATGCATTATATACGAGTATACCACGCTCTCCCGTATAATACTATGGATATGGTTGCGCTGTTTTTGTGGGTTTTAAAAACAAAAAATCCATCGCATCGAGTGGTTTATAAATACAAAGATACACTTGAAATTATATGGCTATTATACTTTATATTACATTATAATATCATCGTTAGTCTTTGGTGAATATTATATAATTTACGCTCAATTTCAACATCACCGTATCATAATAATATTATCATATTATATGTTAGTATATCTCTCTAGTATATGGCGGTAATTCGCGCGTCGAGCACGTACCTATATACCCATCGAAACAGTGGTTTACAAGAGAAGTATACTAATATATAATGCGCATAATAATTATTGTACTCTTGCAGTTCATCACATTATTTAAAAACCTCGTAGGCGTGCATATATATTACATATAATACCTATGTATATTGTGATAATAATTAGCATAGGTAGGCATTGTTTTAATGATTATCGAACGATGGGTATATTATATAAATGTACCTAATTACACACGCACTATATAAACAATATAGCTGCAGTACATGTACTTGCTATTATATGTACCATATATGTACGTAACTTATATGCTATTATCATGCCATTTATGTGCCTATATACTACTCAGTATTCGTATAATGCACACAAATGGAGAAAACATTAAAAAAAAAAAATAATAACCATTTAAATAACTGTTGGCGACGGCGGCGGAGGCGGAGGTACAGACGTAAAAAATCTGCGTGAATGGCGTGCACTCGTATCGTTTATATAATATACGGACAAGTAGCCGAGTAGAAGCCGAGTACTTTTGAAAAGTGAAGTGAATTTATGTAGGAATTATTCGCAGATACTCGTGGAGGCGGCGGCCTCAAGTATGCACGGCGGCGGCGGATCCCGTTCGTTCGGTCAAAAGAGTTAGTCTTTAAACCGTTATCCAAAAGCCGCGTAGAGTGCACTCGGTTCGCGAGCACTTTTAAAAACACCTCTTCAAYTTTATTTCCACTTCGTTCTCATTCACTGTCAATATTAATGTTGGTCATCTTTTGACTCTCAACATCGACTTATATACATAAATGCTCAGTTGGATCCGTTTCTATTTACGTACACCCCGCCTATATAGCCTTTGACAATGTAACATTGTAAATATTGTGACGATGACAATTATTATGTAGCTATAATACCTATATCCAACCTATAGCTATTAATATCAACTGAAACCATAGTACTCATCACATTAACCGATAATAAGGCGATAATAATGTAGGTAAGCATGCCTACATACCGTACACGATGGCATGCAGTGTATATACATTTAGTCAGAGACGGCGCTAGGATTTGCGGGGCCCCGGTCCAAATAAATAACAGTCTATGTGTATATAGTCTTCTGAATGCTATACCTTTTGGTACACAAAAAAATTTTCTCTTTACTCCGCTCGGAAATTAGATTATATATTAATATTATCCAAACTAACTATAATCTCTGAACAGTATAAAATATAATTTCATCAGAATTTCGGGGCCTTAATTATATTTTTATAATCGCTGGGCCCGGAGCCACTGCCCCGATTGCCCCCCWCTCGCTGYCCCTGCATTCAGTTGCATATACCAACAATAAGGGATGACATGCAGCTCATGAATTATCCTACAAACATGTGCATGTACAACTTTGTACAATTGTATAATAAAGTTGTAGGTAACTTTAAATTGTTTTTTTCAATCAATTGATTTATTATATTATGCGTTAGAATCATTAGATGTTTGAGAAGGGAGTTTTTTTTACAGTATTYCATATCTTTCGAATGCTTAAATTAATATTGATGTGGTATTTTACAGGTAAAAATATGGTTCCAAAACCATCGATACAAGTGCAAACGTCAGGCGAAAGAAAAAGCTATGGCTGAACAGAATGCCCAAAATCAGGTGAGATAATGTTTTAAAAGAGAACGCGTCATATTTGATTTATCATTAAATTATTAATTGATATTATAATCKTATGYCCCGCACGTTGTAATAATATCTAAATTAGTATTATCATTCATCAATTTAATTTATGCCAAACCTATATAAAAATACCAAGTTCAAAGCAGTATTACACATWAWACTACTATACTAGATACTAAGTTAAGTACGAGATAAAGAGTTTTGTTTGTATAGAAAAGAGTATTTATAAAAAATTWCATATTTTGTTTATAACCATTCAAGTTAAAAGTTGTGAGTACCTATAAGTACCTATAACTGTTTATTATACATGGGTGCTTACCCAGTAACCTCAGTAACAATTTTTAAACGAACCGATTATGATAAATATAGTAACGCGCGTTAAGTCTTATATATTGAGTTTACTTTTATTCGCAGGCTCAGAGTTCGCCACGACGAGTGGCCGTGCCCGTTTTAGTGAAAGACGGCAAACCGTGTTCGGGTACGTCAGACCCGTCTGGCCAACAGACTGCGCCCGGCGGCAACAATTGCAACGGCCACAGTCCCGCTATGCACCACGGTGGTCACGTACCAGTGCCCGTCCACCCCCATCACCACGCTCACCATCACCATCATGGGTCACCCAACGTCGGGCACCATCAGCAGCAGCACCAACCGCCGCAACACCAGTTGCTGACCAACACCGCGATGCCGTATCCAAGACAGAACGTTGGTCAGCATCACCATCAACAGCAAAACATGTCCTATTTATCCATTCAAGGACGTGCGTGGTGAGCTGCAGTCAGTTATCATTACCTATCTTATTAATAGGCGAGCATTACTTATAGTTTAGACTTTCAAAAAAAAAAAAAAAAAGAAGATTTCATATTGTTTTATTTCAATACGAATTTTTTAAGTGAATATATATATAAACACACACACACACACACACACGCACACATAGAAAAATTATGGTTATATTTAAGTATATAGATAATTCTGAGCATACAGCAGTTTTTGATCAAACGCAATTATATAGTGAGATATTAGAAAAAATGCATATATTATACGCGTATATTATATAGGTACGTACCTCTTTTTAAGCTTGTTACATATAACAAAATGTTACATACATAAATGTGTACACATTTTTTAATTTGATTTTATCTTGGACTCTCTAAGTCAATTACATTTTGTTTGTGCTATGTGTCTTTTAGTATTTTTATTGTTTTATAAATCTAAACTTTCTACCTCCAAGTCACGTATATACTATATATAACATTCTATGAATGAAGCAACTATTTTGAAACTTTAGTAAATTATTTTAAAAAACAATAAATTAAATGTTTTTGAATAGATGACATAGGCCACAGATGGCAAATCTATGAYGCGTAATATGTCACATTCAAATTTTTATCCTTCGAGCCATGTATGTAAAAATTTTTAAGTTTAAAAAAAAAGGGACATGAAATTATAGTTTACTTGCTGTGAAAATAAAATCCAACCAAAATAAATATTTGACACGTGGCTACAGAAATGTTTGGCATCCTTGGCATAGACATAAGTTCTTCAATTTTTTTTACTATTCTAATATAATATATAGCCTCATTCAAACAAAGTAATATTTGTTGATCATATTCAGTCCCCTTTATGCTTATGAGAATATATACCTATATATATATATATATTAATTTGACGCCCCGTGATTGTTTCACTTTGATTTTTTTTATAGGTACATAAAATAATTTATCAATATATGTAATATATATGTATGTATATTTGTGTATAAACCTCAATTTTTAAAGCACTATAAATACCTTTCTTAGTTGTATACTTGTATATTATTATAAATAGTTAAGTGTTTTGTRAGTAGGTTTTAATATTGTATAAAGTAAATAGACTGTTGAATAAACCTAAAATAATACGTCAAACCTATCTGAAGTGTTTTTAAACAATTCTTGTGTACATTTACAATCACCGCGACATGGTTGAATTGAAATTGGTGATGTATAACATTTTATCAACTATATATATTATAAACTCAATATAAAAAAAAATATTTGTAATGTATAAACTGTTATATATAATTAGTAATTACTCATTACTAATTATCAAACGAAATACGAATCATCTTCAAAGCTAAGAAATCCATATTAATGATCACCTATACCTATATATATATATATATGTATTGCAATATGAATACATTTTTCAGCATAGGTATAATATATATATATATGTTTACAGTTATATAAGCTTATATTATAATATATAATAATAGGTGTTTTTTAAACCATATCATCGAAAAAGTTCAAAAGATTATGGCGTTTTTATATTTAATAGGTAATATTGTCTAAAATTAAATTATCAAAATAATATAGATACATATAATTAATTATATATATATATATATATATATATATATATATATAGTGTATTGGTACATCATATAGAAGTGTGTCGAAATGTATGTTGTACAATTTATGTTTGTTTATCTCTCCCCTTTAATGTAATATTGTATATAATATTATGTTCATCTGATGTTATAAACATAATATTACATTATAAGCGCTCGCATTAATTTGCAACGWGTATTTCTTATATTAATTACATTGTTTTAAATTTTAAATATGCATATAACATATATAGATACGCTTTTTGTATCAAGTGGAAATATCTGTTGCACCACACCATTGAATATAGGTAATAACATTATATTTTAAGATGAAATGTACTGTATAACTATACTTTGTAAAAATTACTTAACTTCTGTATGATTATGACTATTTTTTTTTTTGTAAAATGTGATGTATGATATATTATCTACGTGATTGTATRCGAAATAAACATAAAATATGAAAATAGTAAACTTATCTATATAATATTATATATATACATTATACATACAATAAATGATGTATAATTTGATATGATTTGGTCCTCTATATAATTTAATAGAATGAATCGTATTTTTACCGCAGCCGTCGTACAAATAAATCATATATCCAGCACATAATAATATATAATATCATAACGTCAAAATTCTACAGCGACGATGAGCAAGAAAATCGTTTACGTCTTGTGTGTTCTGCGCATAATCCTTAAGTCGGAAGCGGCAATATACCTCATATACCTGTATACAATAATAATATGTACCTATGTTGGTACATATACGCTCGCATAATGGATGTATATATAGAGTCGTTAATGAGTAAACAGTAGCGTTATGCAGCACTGAGTATACCTATACAAATATATAATATGTATATAATAAAACACAAGAGAACCGCATATACGACGAGCGAAAATAGGCGGAACCACGACCGCCGGAGAACCGCGCCCCCGACGCCATGACAGTGCCCTCTACATGGTATATATTATTTTATTATGTGTGTGAGTATTATTATTATTATTATTATTACGGCACTGCACGCTCCCGGAACCCGGACTATCGTTTTAACGCGCATTTGAATGGAGGGGAAACACGATTTAATAAGGCACAAAATATTATGTGTATATACAATAAAAAACCGATCGACCCCAACAATCTCCGGTGGCAGAAAAAAAAAAATGCATATATGCAAACTTGTGCTTTGATTTGAATCCAATTATTGTTGGGTTGCGAAAAAAATTATAAAAAAAAGGTCCTGGAAAAAAGGACAAACATATTATACAAAAAAAAAATAAAAAATAAAAAATATTTGATTTTTTCGAATTATCGTGATATTATGCAGTGTAGGTATATATAGTTATGTGGGTGTAAGTCACGAACAAAAAGCAAATTTAATAACTTATTAAATTCGAAAATATCTATATATACAATAGCTATATTTATATATTCTAATCATCATATAATAAGTTATAAATACTGTGTACCTATTTCAGGTACTATTATTTTAATTGATGTACAATGATGCATTTCGTGGTAGGTACATTATGCAGGTGATGCATTGAAGACACTTGTATAGTTATAAGACACATAATATAAATAGTGTAATATAAATATAATATAATAATATAAATGGATCACTCAGTAAACGTTTATTTTAAACCTTTTTATTTTTATATTATACCAAGATCAAAACTACATTATAGGTATATAGGTATATCGTGTATTATATGCAAAAAAAGAAAATACACAATTTTATTTTATCATCCTACAAGTAGGCATTTTCGTTGAATAAAAATAATAATAAGTACCTATAATACCTACCCACATAATATTAATTTTTTTACGCTCGTTAAATTTTCAGACAGATATTTCAATTTTAATACACCTGATATTATAATTAGGATATAAAACAAAATTCAAAAGAAATTCTAATAAAAACACGAGTATTATTATAATTAAGTATAATACCTATCCTCAAAATGCATGTATATAAGTATATGGGTAATAATAAGTTTATACAAAAACGTGTACCTATTATAAAGTACAATTAAGCATATGTATATATAAAACTTAAATTACCTACTCAAGTGGCGCTTAAATAAAAAAGTATAAAGGTAAGACAAAAATAATTTCACAGCCATGTGAATGGTATATTATATTGTGATAATATGTAATCTACTCGGCAAGAAGAAAAAATATTTTATTAACTATTTCATATTGGTAAAAAAAAGTAATGGCGTTCATAAAATATAAACATATTAATGATTTGTGTTCAAACTTTAAGCGATAAAGTTTTTACACATACTTGGTTTATTTATATATTTTTATTTTATTTCGAGATTAATTATTATTTGTAAAAGCTCAACAACTGAAAAAAATTATAATATGTGAATCACGCCTTATTAAACATATTTGTATTATATATACCTATCTATAATATAGTCAATTACTTTATGAGATGGAAAATAAAGGATTACGTATATAGAGTAGGTATATCGATTAGTATAATTAATGCCATTATATCTTTTTATTAAAAGCTATTCACAGAAAAATAATTATTGATAAATTGTAATTAGCAGAATTATTAATAATCATAATGAAAAAAATACATATTAAACACTCTAACCGTTGCTACCGAGTTCGACGAATTGAAGTATGGGTATAGACATTTTATAATATATTATAGTGTATTATACTAATTTATGTATATAGTAAAAATTAAACTGAAATTCAAAGTGGTTCGTATAATTCATATTATTACATATATAAAGCACAAAGAATATCTACCAGGCATAATATCTAATGTCCATATACTGAATAATGATATTTAATGGTAATACAAAAAATAAATATAAAATATTTTAAGGATTTTAGATTCAATCATTTCAAATTATTAGATAAAAACATATAAACTTAAACTAAAAATTAATTAATATGTACAAATAGTATCAAAATTAATACCTGAATAATTTTTTTGTAGCCATTTCATTAAATACTTCTCATTTTATTTTATTTACAACCCCACAGTGATCAGCAATTATACCTAACCAATTGATACGACTATGAAATAATATAATAATAAAATAAATAATCGAACAATCGAACAATTTGTAAATATTAATAATTTTTAGATTAACATTTTAAGTATACTTTTACATTTAATTATAAAAGAAAAGGAGAAAAAAGGTAAAAAGCTAAAGCTATTAGCTATAGCTACACCAGGGTATAAATATTTTATGTTTGAAGTTTTGAGCTGTTAGTTTAATAAGAATAGTATTAATCGCCAGAGTTAATATTGTTTTTATACAATGATAAAAGAATATTATTATCAAACACTTTGAATAACCATACACCATAAAAAAAATTATTATTATTATTAACATTATCTTTATACAAACATCGATTATATATAATATTATTATAAATATTGACAAAAAGTCGTATGGGGTGAGGGGCGTATTTATATATCAACTTATGTCTGAAGCAGCCTGTATCTATAGGTATTATACAGTTCAGACCCGGGATTATACAACTTTAATGAACTTTTTATCAATCTCTAAGTTATTTAAAACTATTGAGATCAACTTACTCCAAACCCTTTAAGTAACCAAACTTTTTTACTTCACCCTTGAAAAACTGTTATTACACTTTAAGAAAAAAAAAATACCGAATCGTTTGATTTCACTTAATGATTTTTTACTTTCATGGATTAAACTCCTTTGATTACAATCAAATTATTGAGTACGAAACATAGTAGTGTAATTATATTAAGTAGGATCAATGTATATGGTATTACATTTCTTATATGTATATGAGATACATATACATACTTATGTAATATCCATATATATATCTAAATATTTTATCATAATATATTTGTATTGTTGTGTCATATATATAAAAAAAATATTTATATGTATTTGCATATAAAAAAATACAGGGTAGTATACATATATATAACAATTGTTTTCAATATAGTTATATAAGTTTATGTTTTATACACTATCATATGACATTAATAATCAAGGATTAATTTTAGTTTGATGATAATAATA